TAAAACTTTCAATTAATGGTTGATTTTTGAAAATATAATTAAAAGCTGAATTTTTAGATAGATTCTCTAAAAAATATTTAAGAAAATAACTTACAAAAACACTTTTTTTATTATATTATTTGTTTAGGTAAATAAAATATAATAATTATTTTCACATTAATATGTATATATAATTGAATCAGCTTGGGTGCTTTGGAGCCGAACATCACCAAACTTGATGTTCGACTCAAAAACTTACATGAGTTCAAGTAAGCATCGAGCTCTATTCTTGGCAATGGTTTGTCTCGTTTGCAATCCTACCTTGAAATTCCTTTCTAGTTTTCCTCCATAACTCCCACAAATGGAAATGCTTCCCCAACCCATTTTTTCATCCACTTTTGTGTGCATCATCACCATCTTCTCCATCTTGCTCCTTCTCCCACCATCATACAGCGATCCCTTGGATGAGTTCATAAAGTGTAACCGTTCTGCTTCCTTCGAGTGCGGCAGCCATGGAACCTTTTACTATCCTTTTTGGAACGACGAAACTCCGGAGCATTGTCATCCGCTTGGGATATTCCGCGTGAAAGACTGCGAAGAAGATGTTCCCACCATAGACTTTGGCCCAGATGGTTCATTCCTCCTGCAGCACAGAAACCCATCAGATTACAGCAAATTGACCATTGCTTCAATTGATTTAAAGGCATATATTTGTCCCAAGACACCACAAAACAAAACTCTGCCTTTCTTGAAATTCTCCGAAACCGACAGAAACCTCACTCTGTTCTATAACTGTACATCACCTCAAGGGCTACTCCCTGGAGATGAGATTGATGATTGCGGACCCAATGACAACAGCAAACCCTTCTTTATGCCTGATTGGGAGGAACATGAGAAGGATGATCGTTACGGGTGCAGTACTGTGATAGTTGCGGTTAATCAGACGGTTTTCAACAAAGTCTGGCATGGGGAACTGACATTGGTTGATGCTTTGAGACAATTTTGGTTTGATGTGGAGTACAGCAGTAGTGCGATTTTCTGTGATCAATGTGAGAATTTAGGTGGCGAATGCGAAATCAATTCGAGTTCAGATCAGTATCTACAAACAGCGTCATGCCAGCATCCTCCAGGTCCAGGTCGGGATGAAGGTCCGGGTCGAGGTATGGATTATCTATGCAAAACAATTTGGTTTTAGTTTGGTGTAGTGCTTACGTCTTAGGATTATTCTGTTCTGGCAAGTCCAATACTATAGCTTCTTGGAAACTCACTGCTTGACGTTGTTCTGGTCTTCTTTGAACAAGTCAACGTGACTAGCAGCTTTGGTTGACTGCACTTTTAAACTTTAACCCATTGGTGCAAATTTGAAATGACAATTTGCTCCCACGCCCATGATCCTCCTCGCTGGTTTTTTCACCCAATTGGATGGCGACCTAGTAAAATTGGCGGGAGCATAGATGACTGAGGGGTTAAGTGCTTCTCTCCCTCTAAGTGAATGAAAGTTGAAACTACAATTTTTTTTAGAAGGAAAAAAAAAAATCTACAAAAAGTTTTTTGGGGCACGGGTTGCTTAAGGGAACTTATGCCTTGAGTACTAGGCTAGGAAGTAGGAACGGGTTCCTTGAGAGAACTTAATGCCTTGGGTGGCTTGGCACGGGTTGCTCAAGGGAACTTTTGCCTTGAGTAGGCTTGCTTGCAAAAGCTTTTGCGAGTTCAAGCTTGAAGCTTGGCTTAACTTCGAGTTTGATTCAAGTTACTTGGTTAAATTATTTGTGTTTTACATGGAACGTAGTAATTTAATCAATTTCATTATCAAGCTTGAAATAAAACTCGTTA